TAACCCATTAACCCAACACCAGTCCACAAAGTCCTCCACCTCACAAAACAGAGGCAATGATGCCGACTACAGGAGGAAAGCTGAGTCAGTGAACGCACAAGCATCTCAGCACTGGCAGGGGTCTCCACACGGCTGCTCCAGTTATTATGTTAAGTAATATTAAGGTTATGTTAAGTAATATTAAGGTTAACTATTATGAGTTGGAATAAATTGGCAATACTCATTGGTAAGAGTATGAGTTTATTACCATAGTACCTATAATTTATCGTGCACCTTTTCTGTCTCAGAAATGGTAGGTTTTTTACATACAGTATCTTACTCATTAAGTCCAAACAATAATCTTGAAAGGTAGACAATATTATACACAATTTTACAAGGAGATTCCAAAGTTATTAGTCATTTTTCCATGATGATTTCAACCCTATGGCATACTGAATTCCAAACATATTTTTCTGGTCCAATTCAATTTTGTATTGCCTTCATGAGACCGATGACATGCTTCCTTATATTAAATATGTATGATTGTACACCAAGTTGAGGACATTTTCAACAATAACTTCTAAACTTTACTGTAGTTTTCCCTGATGTGTCCCTTACTAAATAATAAACTCTTTAAAATTAAGAATTGTTTCATTAATTTTTGTTGTTGTTTTATATGCTCTAGAATCCAGGAGAGTAAAATGTACAAAGTAGTGGTCTCTTGAATAAAAACATAAAATGTTGTTGAAAGAATAAGTACACACTTTGATCATATTGTTTTATTGTTTAAAAAAACAGCAAATCATGAAACTGCTTGTAACATTATATTATGAGAGAAGTGGTGATTTAATAAACATCAATACCAATTAGTGTATAAAACTTATAAGCACAGTCAGACCCAACCCAGGGATATAGATGGCAGTCAACTAAAAAGGAGGGGAAAAGCAAAAAAAGAAAAGAGGATGGGGGAGGGCGGCAGGGCACTAACCCACTCATCTGGAGGGTATTGTTTATGTCTCCCCAGGAAAGGGAGAGAGGGACCACACCCCAACCTGGTGCACCAAGACTTGAAGGAAACATACCGGCATGAAGCAGTGAACCAGTAGAAAGGTCTGTGGGGCTGGTCCCAATCCCAGCTATGTGGACCCCCTCCCCCAGAAGAATGCACTACAGAGGACAGCGCTGAAGATACAGCTCTGGGAGAGGGGTGGAGTCTGCTAGAACACAGAGGAGCAAACTAAGAGGAAAGGAGAGAGAGCGTGGACCACATCCTGGCCCACCAAGGCCCAAGGATGACATTCCTGCTTGGAGCAGTCAATGCACTCTAGGGCCGGTCCCACCACAAGAAATGGCGTCCCTTCATTACCCATATTGCTACGGGGAACACTAGTGACACAGTCTGGGAATTGTGCCTGTGCTGACCCTACCCCCACCGTTCCCCCCATATCGGGGCAAAACACGAAGGGAGTGCACCAGAGCGGCAAGGGGAGCAAAGCAAAGAAGTCCCTGAGGAATCCCAAAAATAGACTTTGGGGGCAGGGCTTGGGACCTCATCAGATTCTATTGGAAAACATTCATAAGGTCAAGGTCAACAGACTGACCTGGAACTATTGATACACTTTTTTTTTAAATGGCTGTCTTCTATGTAAGATAGGCAGGATGAACAATCCCAAAAGAATGATCAACATCAACCATGTCAGGAGGCAGCAAATGAGTTCAAGCTGCACGGAAAGCTTTAGCCAAAAATAAGCCTCCAGGAATTGATAGAATAGTAATTGAAATGCTCAACAAGCTGATGAAGCAGTTCGGCATCTATGCCAGGAAAGTTGGAAGACAGTTACTTGGCCAACTGACTGGAAGAGAACCATATTTGTGTCCATTTCAAAGAAAGGTCATCCAATAGAAACCTCAAATTATAGAACAATGTCATTGTTATCACATGCAAGTAAAATTTTGCTTAAGATCATCCCAAAATGGTTGCAGTAGTACATTGACAGGGATCTTCTAGAGGGTCAGGATCGACTTGGAAGAGGATGTGGAATGAGGGATATCATTGATGATGTCAAATGGATCTTGGCTGAAAGCAGAGAACACCAGCAAGGTGCATATTTGTATTTTATTGACTATGCAAAGGCATTCAACTGTGCAGATCATAACAAACTGTGATTAATCTTGAGGAGACTGGGAATTCCAGAACCCTCCACTGTGATCAGTGGGAGTGAATGGACCAAGAGGCAGTTTTGTGAACAGAACAAGGAAATACAGCATAGTTGAAAATCAGGAAAGGTGTGTGCCAGGATTGTATTCTATCACCATACTTGTTCAACCTGTATGCTGAGCAAATCATCACAGAAGCTGGATTATGTGAAGAAGTGAAGAAGAGTGCAGCATCAGGATTTGAGGAAGGTTTATTAACAACCTGGGATATGCAGATAACCCTACTTTGCTTGCTCAAAGTGAGAAGAACTTGAGGCACTTGCTGATGAAGATTAAGAACTTCAGCCTTCAGTATGGATTACAACTCAATGTGAAGAAGAGCATAATCCTCACCACTGGACCAACAGACGACACCGTTCTACATGGAGAGAAGCTTGAACTTGTCAAGGATTTCAACTTGCTTGGATCCACAGTCAGTGCTCTTGGGAGCAGGGATCAACAGAGCAAAAGATGTGTTGCGTTAGGTAAATCTGCTGCACAAGACCTCTTTAGAGCACTGAAAATACTCTAATGTTAATAGATACTACTCTAATAACACTACTCTAAGAAAAATGTTAGTTTGAGGACTCATGTGGGCCTGATCCAAGTCATGGTATGTTCAATTGCTTCACATGCATGTGCAAGTCGGACATTGAATAAGGTCAACTGAAGAAGAGTGGGTGCAGTTGAATTGTGGTGCTGGGAAGAGTATTGCAATTACCATGGACTGAGAAGCTCTCTTGGAAGAGGTGAGGCCAGCTACTATGTGCTGGAATCAACTTGATGGCACTGAACAACAACTTCGAGAAAGAGAAAAAATATTTGCAATCATAATTTTACTGGTTCAGACGGGGGAAAGGTTTTGCCAATCCTATCAGCAGCCTTTGAATTCCGGTCTTCAAAAAATGACAGCACTCATCAAACTTATAAATGAAAGGGAGTTTAAGGGCTATCAAATTGAAGTCATGTGCTAAAATAAGCACATCCAGCCACATCTCTCCCATAGACTATCATTATAAAAGGTGGGCAGAATGCATGGAGAAGTTACTTGAGGATCCCAAGTGTAAATAGCATCATGCCCATTGAGGAATATGATTCAAAGTGCCACCAAACTGGTTACAAGTTTACCATTTTTCTCCACTATCATGAGGTCTAAACCCAACATACAGAAACTCTGGAGTGAGTTTCAAGATGCACAAAGAAACCCAGAAGGCGGCACTAGTTCTGACTGCAGGAGCAGGAAACATTTCCCGTGCTCAGAGAGAGTGTAGCACCTGTTTTACTCTCTCTCCTTCCATCTGTTCTCTCGCATTCAAGACCCCAAGTAAACCATGGTAGTATTTTTGGCTGTTAGCAACAGGAGCCTACAGGATCCAAAACTCTGAGAGAGACAAAAACTTTCCTCCACCCAAGTGAGCTGGTTCCCAGGAGGATCAACTCTGAATTGGGTTTTTCTGTGTTCTCCTACTGCTTTGTCCTAGGTTTGGAGGCAGCTGTGAAAGCACATGGCAGAACACAGTAACTGAAATCTCTGTTTTCTATGCACAGGGTTGAACAGAAGAGTCCCATGAACCTGGAACGTCTGAGAAGATGTGGGGAGGAAGGGACTCTGGAGGGTGCCACATACAGTGCTTATAAACTCCTGGTTGTAGAACTGAGCTATTTAGCCATATAAAAGGGTTTGACAATTTTCAGAGACACCACTGAGGAAGCACACACAATATAAATCTGGATAGCTTTGAAAATAATTTGAAACTGAAATGACATTGGAACCACGACCCAAAGAAAGTTGGTTGAAACTTGTGGCCAGGTTAAATGGTTGCTAAAACAAAAATACCAGCATTCATCATTCTCAATGAGGTTTAATTAAAATACAGAGTTCCATAACATGTTTAATAAAAAATATACAATCTAAAATTAATCTATCTACACCCCAAACCAAACTCCCTGTCATTGAGTTAATTAAGTATAACTCACAGTAACCCTATAGGACAGGGTAGAACTGCCCCTGTGAATTTCTGAGACTGTAACTCTTTACAGGAGTAAAATGCCTTGTCTGTTTTGTACTCTCCAGTGGAATGGCTGGTTGTTTCAAACTGCTGACCTGGTGGTGTAGCCAAATGTGTAACCATTACAGCACCCTACTCAATACACAAAGGACGAGGAAAATTCCACCGCATAAGGTATGGTGCAGTGAACTTACATAATAGGGCCCTTCTAGCCAAACCTTTATATCTCCTACAAAGTGGGTAGGAAAATGCAAATAGTGTGTATGA